TGCAGCGTCACTGATCAATAGCAATGGTCACGCCTGCTAGAACGCCGTTTGTCCTGGGAAGTCAGAAAAGGCATAGCAACAGAGGCTGAAGCTATGGGTTGGTTGATTGCTCCAAATTCTCAGGTGAGTACAGTGCTACTCCCAAGCTCAATAATGACGTCCAGGCTACCAGGGATAGCCTGGACTGGGTTACACAAGTGGACTCTCACAGCTGTGGTCCTCTAGCATGTGCCTCTGCATGTCTTCTTCTCCAGGGAATCAGACCGACTGCTTCTGTGCTTGGGGTGAAATCATCAACTCTGGCTAGAGGTGAGAGTAGAAAACTACGAACAAGTGTGCTTCAACTGGTGCTTGCAATGGCTGCACGGGATCCAGCAAATGAGTCTATATTCAGTCCGAAAGTGAAAAAATTGATGGACAAGTCTGTACCTTCCATGACTTACTACATAGATCGCCTGTAGAGAGGTATCACAGCTGGTTGTGCATGAATATAATGACTAATATACCTCTGGATGCAAAAATACACTTGGTTTGATGCAGATTGGGGCTTGATTATCTTTCCCAAGTGAGTCCGAAGGCACTCCCGAAACTCCGAAAAATACTCCGAATCTCTCGCTCACTGACACAAGAAACAGTGAAGTATCTCTTGCAGGGATGTATGCAACATGAGCCAGGCTGGAAGAGTTCAGACATGGAATGCATTACACAGGCTAGTTCACACACAGATGAGACATTTGGACCCCAAACATAGAAAGACCGAAACATGAAATGAAAACACCGAAATGGATACTCGCCAAAATGAACAAGTGACACTACATACAAGGGAACTGTGACACGGATTTGATTGGCTACATTTAATCTTGAGAAGAATGGAGATCTGCATTTGTGGGGATTGTGGGAAAGGGATCATGACGTGTTGGTTTTGAAGAAAGTACATTTTCGGAGTTTGAAGGGTCATTTTCGGGATTCGGTGCGGTACTTTCGGAGTTTCGAGCGGTGATCTTGGTGGAAGGGGGATCAAGACTGTGAGCTCTTCTTCGGTCAGAGTACTCGTTCGGCTTCGCAGAGTAAGTCCTAATGTCAAAGAGGACCTGTAGCCGAGACTTTTCTCGTTTGACCTCTTCGAGTTCTGACTCAAGTTGCCTGATGGTGTAGTTGGCCGATTCCCACTCCTCTTGATCCGCTTGAAGGTCTGCCCGTAACTGCTCATTTGCTCCCTCCAACTGCTCTTTGAGTTCCTTCAACCGTACATTCTCCATCTCAGTCTCATTTTGCATGGCAGCGGTAATTTGCACAAACTGCAATGCCTCGCCGTTTTGCTGTTGCATTGTCAACTTAGCGGCTTCGGCCTCCGAAAGACGAGCTCGGAGAGTTTCCAATTCGGTGTTTTCCTTCTCAGCCATCTGTCTGGCCAGATCTGAACACCGCTGTTCAGCAGACTGACGAGCCTGAGCCTCCTTTTCCTTATCCCCCATTGCACTAGCGAACCTCTGGCTCATAGTCTTGAGCCCTTCCTGTGTCTCCTCCAACTGCTTTCGGATTGAAGCAATTTCGGCGTCTTTTTCGGCGGTAACTCGGGCAACAGCATGATCTCTTTCCTCATTCTTATCAATCTGCTCTTTGTACAGCCGGTCCAGTGTCTTTACCTCTCCTTGAGCCACATCTCTTTCAGAAACCACCGAGTCATACCGCGCTTTGAATTCGCTCCATGTCCCATTGATAGCTCTCACACCCGAAAGTGATTGGGTGACACTTTCGGAGTAGGCTTGATGCCGTCCTCGGTTGATTTCTCGGTAATAGTCTATCATTTCGGAAACTTGAGCGACCATTCGGGAAGAGAATTGCTCCTCAAACTGAGCCTGAGTCTCTTGAAACTCACTCATACGATGCAGACACTGTTCAACTTCGGGCATGGTAGACGGTGGAGCCGGGATGTAAGGGACAACCTTTTCGGGTGCAGGCTGGTCCAAAGAAGGGACAGTGGGCCTTTCGGTCCGAAATTCGGGCTGGAGTGGTGGGTTCATTTGAGGGAGTTTACTGACCACATTGACCGAAGTGACAGGAATGGAGGGTATCTGACCTGGCAAAGCTGTGGGACCAGAGCCAACGAATTCTGAGTGAGAACGAAGGAGAGAAGTGGGAGGTGGAGTCTGAGGGGGAGCCGATTGGGAAGCAAAGATTGGAGGAACTATGGGTTTCGGAGCCATCGTGGGTTTCGGAACATTGGTCGATGGGTTCGGACCAGGATGACTCTGCACACCTGATCGATCCAGGCCCTTCTGCTGTAGCCACTGCTTTACCGCTGCAAACGTGTGTAGTGAGGTAGGTAGTGGGGAGATTTGGGGAGGGCCAGAGACGAGAGAAGAAGACCCAGGTTGAAGGTTTGGAGGAGGGCCTGCTTTCGGAGCAGGGGAGGGGCTGGGGAAGGGGGCGGGTGTGACACTTTTAGCTTTGTGAGGCGAAGGGATTGTTGGTGATTCTTGCAATGTAACACCCAAAACGGTCTGTGTTTGTGCTATAAATGGGTCTAGAGCAGAGGGAACGGGTTGTTGTCGAAGAGATACGGCAGGAGAAGGAACAGGACCAACAGGGGACATTGTGGGCACCTTTTCGGAGGTAAGATCCATTTCGGGCTGGGGAGGACCTTGTTCAACGGAGAACGGCCGAGCCCGTTTCGGTTCGGGCTGGGACTCTTCTACATCCTCCAGGGCACGCTTGTTCACAGGAGGATGAACAGGACTACTTTGGACAAGTATGGGAGAAACCCCAGCTGGCAAACCTGCAGAGAAAAGGGGGGGGGCGGTTTCGGAGGGTTCCTTTTCGGGAACAACATCGGCAAATTTTGGAGGGCGGGGAGGGAATCGTGGCCTCTCATTTCGGGCTGTAGATTGTTCCGGTTGAGGTCTTTCTTCCCCATCATCTTGACCCAAGCTGGAATCTTGAACAAGAATAGGACCAGCTGGAGAAGACAGTTCTGTTTCTCCCTAAAAGTCAGCTGCTGAGACTTGCTTTCGGTTCGGAACTTAGAAAACTCACCTCCGAACGAGGTTGCTCTCTAGCAGACATAGGCGCTTCGGTGAGAGGTTTTGGAGAAGGTCTGACAACCCATTTCGGACGGGGTTTTGCCGCATCCCCAGCTGCGACAGTGCCTCCCCTAGCAGTCCTACGCTTGTCCTTCGGTCCTACCGGTTCCTGCAGTGGCGCATTTGAGAACCCAATCGCCGTGGAAGTTGCAGGGGGTGCTTTTTCTTTTCCCTTTCCTTTTCCTTTTTCGGGAGGGGGGGGGAGAAACCGATTTCTTGGGAGCCGAAGCTCTTGTAGAGCGTGTTGTGGTGGCTGGCCGGCGAGGTTTCGGAGGGGAGGGATGTGGTGAATGTTCAGAGTCCGATGAGTCCGAATCAGAATCCGAGCTGTCCTCAGGCTTGTCCTGACCTTGTGATGACTTTTTCGGCCGTTTTTCACTTTCGGAGGACTCTTCGACAAGGAAATTGGTCGGCTTGCCCTTGAGGGAGCAGGTGAGAGGGGGCTTTGTGGAGTTATAACAGTGGACACAGACACGAAACTTTCCTTCGTCCCAACGGTTGAGAAACACTGGTCGACCATCAGGTACATTGACACATTTCACTTCGGGATGCCTGAGATCAGCATTGAGTTTCGTTAATTTCACCCGAATTCGAGAGCCATATTTGACAAACAAATACTCACGTGTAATTGAAAGCCGAAACACAAAACTGGACATGACAGTTTGGCTTCGTCGCCGACTCATCCGCCGAATAGCATCGTGACCCTCTAGTAATCGCCCGAATACCCTCTTCCTTCATTTGTTTCGGGGTAGCTTCCCGAAGTCCTAGCTTTTCAGCATGCTGGGGAAGATACTTCGGCTCTGCATGCCACCAGGGTTGGAGGTAAAACCCTATCTCAGCTTGAAAAGAACGAAGTGATTTCTCATTCTTCCAAATGGGGTGTTGTGGCTGAAGATATTTTTGGAAATGAACATGGTCGGGGTGTAATTTGTAACCCTTCGGAGGGTTTACACTGGATTTATCTGTTTTTGAGTCGAAGGGGTTCGGCATTTTGAGAAAGAGGTCAAAGAGGTCAGAGAGATTGGGAGGAAGGGGGAGTGGAAAGACTCTAATTTTGATGATAAGATAATTTGGACGAGCCAAGGGGGAAGGTGAGATGAAGCACACAGATGCAGAATGAGCAGTGAGATCAGTTGAGAGTGAGCAGTGGAGAGCAGATGAAAAACGCTGGCTAATGTAAGCTGGAAAAAGATATGAAGAGGCTGAAGAGAAGTGAAGTGAAGTGAAGAGAAGAACTGAATGGAAGGAATGAAAAACGGGGAAAATCGCGTCAGCCCGTGTTGGTACTTAGTAGAAGTTCAACCAACCCCATCACCATCAGAAACACGTCAACATGATGGATCCTTGCTAGGATTTTGTGCATTCAATACCAGGCATGTGTTAACATGAATACCATGCATGTGTTAACATGAATATAAAGATACACGCATAGAATCAGGTATCCACTTGGGTAGATTGCTGGTCAGTAGTGAGTATGTGACTATGACCGAAAGCCCCCGAATTCTGCCGAAAGGGGACCAAAAAGCAAAGTGCGATTTCGGGTTCGGGACATTGCCCCTTCCCCTGGGGTCAATACTCCGAAAGATGTTCCGAAAATGGTATGAATAGACTCAGAAGGTGTCAGGCATTCCAATGATATCAGAAAAGCCACGGAAAGATGATTTTTTTATAGTGAAGGGATTTGGGTCAGTAGTGACGGGATATGGGAGTTGAACGACGTATTTTGGGAGAAAGTGGCAAAATTTCGTCGGGATTAATTCGAGTTCCGTCGGGATTATCCAGTTTTGCCACCGAGACGCGTCCTGGAAAATCAACTCCCTCACATCACCGCCACTTGATGAATCTAAGCGAAACTCCGGTATTTCCGATAGTGACAATGCGCCGAGTGTCAGCTCTTTCCACTACGTTTCCTCTATCATCTCTTGCACCTAGCACCTGGACACCCACCACCACTGTCGTCCACTCCTATATCCCACCCAAATCATCTCCGTTACCTCAGAGAAACCCATTGAAACATCCGCAATATTCTCACGAGCTCGTCCTTATCACAGCTTGTCCGACTACCCGTATCATATCACATTCCTCTAGCGCCTTCGACGACTCACACGCCTTCTCTACTTCGACCCAATGGCCTCATCTTCATCGTGAGTCAGATTCGCTTGCATCATCAGCGCCCTACAGCTAACATGTGTAGGTCTGGTCTGAAGGACTGGCGAGCAGGTCTTGCACCTCCGGTCAAAGATGACCGACCACAGACAGAGGTTGGTTGTACCTCTTTTGATCAGCTGTCCATGTTGCTGACATACAGGATGTCCTCGCTACCGAGGGTTCCACTTTTGAAAATTTCGGTCTTCGAAGGGAACTTCTCATGGGCATATTCACCGCTGGCTTCGAAAACCCTTCTCCCATCCAAGAACAAAGCATTCCCCTCGCTCTGTCAGGGCGAGATATCCTGGCACGGGCCAAGAACGGCACTGGCAAAGTGAGCTGCATCGCAGAGCCTACATGATCTCAATGCAGATCAGAGAGAACGCAGCTGACATGACAGACCGCGTCATTCATCATTCCCACCCTCAACCGTATCAACACCAAAGCCAATCATATTCAAGCAGTGCTCCTAGTCCCAACCAGAGAACTCGCTCTACAAACATCACAAGTCTGTAAAACCCTCGGAGCTCATATTCCAAATTTACAAGTCATGGTCACAACCGGTGGTACAACTCTCCGAGATGACATTTTAAGATTACAAGAACCTGTTCATATACTAGTTGGAACTCCTGGACGTGTACTGGACTTGGGAGGGAAGGGTATTGCCAATTTGAAGCAATGCGGGATATTCGTGATGGACGAGGCAGACAAGCTCCTTAGCGAGGAGTTTACCCCTGTGATTGAGCAACTTTTGGCGTTATGTCCGTCAGAACGGCAGTTGATGTTATTTTCTGCCACTTTTCCCTGGAATGTGAAACATTTCTCCGTAAGTCAATTTTCATTTTTCACTTTGATCATGTTCCCGAGGTCCGGAAGGCCCAGTCTGGCATATCGAGCAAAACTGACCTTACAGGATCGCCACATGATCCAACCCCACGAGATCAATCTCATGGATGAACTCACCCTCAAGGGTGTCACTCAATTCTACGCTTATGTGGAAGAACGACAAAAAGTACACTGTCTCAACACTCTCTTCTCCAAATTACAAATCAATCAATCAATCATATTCTGCAACTCGACCCAGCGAGTCGAGCTACTCGCCAAGAAAATCACCGATCTGGGTTATTCATGTTTCTACTCTCACGCTCGTATGCTCCAAGCACACCGCAACCGAGTCTTCCACGACTTTCGCGCCGGAATGACCCGGAATTTAGTCTGCTCCGACTTACTTACACGAGGCATTGACATTCAAGCCGTCAACGTGGTCATCAATTTCGACTTTCCAAAGACCGCAGAGTCGTATCTTCACCGGATAGGTCGATCAGGGCGTTTTGGACATTTGGGGCTTGCCATCTCGCTCCTCACTTTAGAAGATCGCCATAATCTATACCGCATCGAATCGGAGTTGGGCACCGAGATTGCGCCTATCCCAGCGGTCATCGACCCTGTTCTCTATGTCTCGCCAGGTGAGATCAAGCCCGAACCTACTGCTTCTCGACCAACGCCAAAGTCTACTCCTGCACCTGGTCCAATCGCTCCAGTGCCCGCGTCTCGACCCACTCCGCAACTTACGCAGCCACAATCGATTCAACCTGCTGCCCCTCCTGTCGCTCCTGCTCAGGCTCTCCGCTCCACACCATCCCCCAACATCCGGGACAATGCGGCTCTCCCGGCCAAACCTGAGACCCCAATGCAAAATAAGCCTGCAACGTATGATGGTCGCCCTCCCAATTTCTCCAGGGACAATTCAAGGGATGGTCAACCAGGAGGTAGGGGAAGGGGCAACGGCGAGCGTGGAAGAGGGAGGGGTCGGAATGATGGTCCGAGACGTGGGGGCGGTCGGGGACAGCCATTCGCTCAAGCACCTGCTGTGGTCAACTCATCGTAGTCGAAAGGGAGGCTAGCTGGGAAGAGGGGAAGGGAACGACAGGCAAAGGCGTAAAGAGGAGTCGAGGGGTGACATGTGGCAAGACGTGGGAAGGGGCGTAGTGCTGGAGGGGCTGGGTATGGGTGGACCGGTAGCTTGTTCAAGTCGGTGTTAGAAGCGAGGTGGAGGCAGCCAGGAGATTCAACTCTCCATCTTGGTCGCTTTGACTGAGAGGTAATGATGGATGAAGTGACGAGGGGGGAAGGGTAAGCGAAGATGGAAGAAGGGGAGAGATGAGCGGACGGAGATAGATGGTGTAGGGGAGGTCTCAGTTGCAGCGTGTATCATTCCTCTCCCATGCCAGTCGAGGGGAATATGCATCATGTAATCTGAGCTGGGCCAGGTCTGCGACGTTTGCCTCCCGTCATGGCGTGATACATAAAGTTGATCAATGACATTCGACACCCGTCGTCTGTCCAAGGTTGAATCTGACGTGACTTGTTATCGGCGCATACGCCGTAACTTACCGACCACCGACTTGATATGTACAACCATCATCTCTATCTTTTCCCTCTACTTCTCATTCCTCTATTCTTCTTTCTGGTCCCTTGCATGCTCCCTCTTCTCGTCTTGTCCCTTCTGCTTTGGTTCTCTCCGACTTGTCTCAGACCCGACTCGATCTTTTCATCCCTTCGATCCCTCGACCACCTTTCTTCTTCACCGTAGCAGATTACCACTGTTCTCACAAAGGAGGGTTCTTAATATCGTTTTGATCACTTCTTCCTCCCTCTCTCATCTATCATCCTCTTCTCCATACTCTCTCATTCCTTGAACAGTCCACCTCCCTACATCTCCACACACTAGCCCACTCGTACTATTGCCGCTTGATCACTTTCCGTTCTACTCGTACCGCCTTCAACTCTGCTCATCATCGCCGTCTTGCCGTTTCCCCATCTATCTCCAAACTCAAACTTACCCGACTAGGTAATCACTATCATCCATTCATCATCACACCCATTGTCTTTACTACCATCTTCTCCGTAAGTCTCTTCTTATCTTCATCTCATCTTTAATAATGACTGATTCACCAGCTCTTGATCAAACACCAGACAATATGTCTGTCCCTCTACCTTCTCCATCTCTCATATCAGCACCACCTAGGGCTATTCCTCGATCTCGACCTGATAAACTTGATTTGACCGAATCTTCTTCTCCTACCACAACCACACCGGGTGGGACATCATTCCGACGTCCAGTGAGGAATATAGGGTTCAAAAGTCCTTCTCCTAATGGAAACAATCATTCGGGTGAAGTGGATGGTCAGGGTCAAGGAGTAGGAGGGGAAACAGATAATTGGAGAGATAGGAAGACTAGGGGACCAGAGAGGACGGTCGGGGGTTTTGAGAAACGTCAGACGGTCGTATCTCCTACAGAGAAGAATGGCGGGAAGGAATCTCCTGTAGGCGATACAAAAGGTATGTGAAGGGTTGATTTGGTCTTTCATCATAAATCGAAATGGTAGTAGTACAACACCTCCTATCGCAGATCACACTGCGGGAATAAAGCTAAGTAGTGACCTTTACTGACATTCAGCCGAGGCACTCTCCCATGTACCTTGCAGATTCTTCAAAGCTGGTACTTGTACCGCAGGAGCTAGCTGCCCATTCTCTCATGATGGAGGTAAGTGAAGATATTTTGGTAATCATTCCGATGCTCATGAGTAGGGGGAACTAAAGAGGTCTGTCAGTGGTTCTTGAAAGGTAATTGCAAATTTGGTCATAAGTGTAAGTCATGAACTTCGTTGGCATCAAAGTCATGCATCACTCAGGTCGCAACTGCTGATGAAAAGGTGCACTACTCCATCTTCATCCCGGTGAACCACTATCTATGGATCGACGGAATAAGAAGGCTTCTCAGCGCGAAGCTCGCGAAAAAGCAGAAGGAAAGCCGTCTACTCCTAGTACCCAAGCCGCTCCAGAGACTCCCGCCCCTCAGCACCATGATACCATACGTACTGCTGTTCCGGTTCCAATAAAATCCGCCCTCAGTTCTTCTCTTCAATCCCCTCCTCCTCATCGTCTTCCTTCATCGCCCTTGCGTGAACCTTTTGGTCCTCCGTCTGGTATCCAAGCTGGCTCACCTGGTTTTGGACGATTCGCCTCTTCCCCCAATCGAGCAGGTATAACTCCACCGTCTCTTGGACTGAAATCCCCTGCTGTATTACAATTGCGTCCTTCTTCCGCTGTCCCCTCACCATTACGTCCACCTGTCACGGCAGCACCTGGATTCAGTAGTAGTTTCTCCCAACCTCGTCTCACTCCCGATCGACCTATCCCACTTTCAGCAAGTTTTGCGGATGGTTCTTCCCGGCGTAACATTTGGTCTCCTTCACAAGAACCATCTAACGAACTTCTCTCACCCGCACGAGTATTACCTCCCGCCAGAGCTGTACCTAAACACATGCGTGCTGAAGATGAAGAACGCGGAGAAGAATTCCTTCCTGCTTCCTTGGAGGATCTCTTAACCCCATCCGAACTTGCTCGAAGACAAAACCGACGTGATTCCCAAGGTTCTTTCCCCGGTTCACCCGTCGGGATAGGTCACGTTCCATACTTTGGCGAACGTCTAGCTCAATCAGCAGGTCCAACTATGGACCCTGGTTTCTTGAGGAGTTTATGGAATGATACTGGCGTTGATGCTCGACGAGGATCTCCCTTATCACCTGCGGATCGAGAACAGGAAAGAGATCGAGAAGATGTTTTCAATTTCGGTCCGGCTACAGCTCAACCAGCACCAAGACAAAGCTTGTTAAGTCAACAAAGAGGTCCCACAAGTCCACAAAGATTTATCACAACCCCTGTATTATCCTCACCACAAGGTTTGGAAGCTCCTTATTTACGTACACCTCCTTTACCCAGTAGTCCGAGTGCGAAAGCTTTACAGGAACACGCTCCGGGTCAAAGTCTTCCTGGCGGTTTGGCGGGAGCTCTGTCTAGATTACATATGACCGGAAGACCCAGTGGTCTAGCAGATACCGGAGTCTTGATTCCAAAAACTGGTGATAGTAGTGAAGAGATTACACCTCCTGGCGGGACAGTCCCTCTACCAGGGAACGGAAGGAGGGAAGGGAGGGATGAAAGGGATGAAGGTGTTTTCTTGATGGATGGTTAAGAATGCCGATGATCTGGATCAGTTACGATAAAGTCGTGGATGTTTTAGATGTGTTAGAAAGATGATTGGAGATGAATACAAGGAATCAGAGGAATGAGAAATCGAAACAAACGAAGGAAAGGAGGAAAAAGAATGACTTATGTGATGATAGTGTATCTGATGCCGTTTACCAAATGAAGATGTACGGAATGCATGGTGATTTAATCATCCCAAATATGACCACGAGAGGGTATGAAACAAACTTTGACTACTGATTCTACTACTTGCTATCTGTAGAATACTTATCGAGGCCGATTATCGCAAGGTCAATTTCAAAACCCGAGGTGGACGGATTTGACTTTGTATCAACTTTCTCTTTCTCATCTTTCCTTCGATATGATTCGATATCATGCTCCACGTTCTTACTCTACCTTCGAATATGACTCAAAAATCAACTTTAACTTTCCCACCTTCCCTTCGAAAACGCCCTCCATTTCAACGTTCACTCTCTCACCTTCTCGTCGACGTGGTTTGAAATCAACTTCCTCTTTCCCACCTTCCTTTCGAATATGACCCAAAATCACTTTCCACGTTTCTCACCTTCCCTTCACCATAACTCGATCGCCAGACCTGTGGCCATAGGGAGGGAAAATCAGATCTCGCTTTTCGACTCTGTCGATCCATTGAGGTTGTGGCGGTGTCTGGACTAGATGGCTGTGCGGTAGGGGTTAGAAGGTAGCTTGGGTGGCATAGCTGTCCGCGAGATCCGCCCCTTTTCATATGGATGAGGGCGATGTTGGGCAGCTAAAAAGTAGTGAGTCATCTATCACTTTTCCCACGTTCTCACACCTTTCCCTTGATAGTAGACTTTGATTTATACGCCTACTAAATGTCATTGGAGAGCTGAGATGATCTACTTTCTCTTCCCAATTAGGACGTTCCATTGATGAGAATGGCGATGACGGAAATCGATTGAGATGAAGAAGTTATAACAGGGGTCGAGTTGGCGGGCGTATTCCGTTTGCCTCCTTATTTCATCAGCTTATCTCACACTCTCTCCGTCTTTCACACAACACATCATGAGTAAATCTCCCTCTCCCTCATTGACTACGTGGCAGGAAAGTGCGGACGGTTGGTTGAAGCTGATACCGCCGAAAGAGCCTCCGTCGACAAACTACCAAGAATCTGATTCCATCCCGCTCCACACAATTAGGCCGCCAAGTCTCCTCGACGAGGTCGGGCCGACTGAAGTCTATGGACAAAGGTCAGACGACCAAATGTTTTACCGCTTCGAGACCAGGGTGAGGAATATCCTATACCTGTGGTGGGGCGCACTGACTGCCTAGATCGGAGCAGGTCCGAACCCTGATCAAGAGTTTAACGTCGAAGAATATGAAGATGTCGTGACCGCCGCAGAAGGAACACTTGCTGAACAGCTATCACGAGATCCAGATATCAAGGAAACCTTGAAAGCCACGTTGACATCACTAAATTTTGAGATTACAACTTATATAGTCACAGGCTTCCCACAGGATGGAGAGCTTTTGGATGGAATTGCTCTCAGCATGCGAGGCGATGTTCGAAGCACTCATTTACAAAGAATACTCATCCGCGCCTTGGAGCCAAGGGTGAACACACTTAGTGAAACTCACAAGTCAATGCTTGTCAAAATGGGGATGCAAGTGGACACTATGAAAGCTCTGACGATGAGATCAGACAAGGGGAAGGGACGAGCTTGAAGGTGAAAGCTACGTACGAGGCGCATCTCACTGATTGTATCCTGATTTTCCCAATCCCGACACAAATTGGGTAACTTACCTGGAATTTCTACGAAGCTGGTCATCGTAATCAATGGACTGTAGAACTGATGAATGTCTGTTGTCTATAGAGTTTACGGTACTTTCCATTTGATTTACCATAACGTTAGTGGAATGTAGATGCATTGATGTGTCGTGGCTTGTTGAAGTATACGTATAATATTCGCCCTGGTTTCTGGGTCATGTTTTGGGTATCACATGATCTGGTTGCCATGACAACGATGGCCCATTAGCCCATTTTGTTGAAACCTCTTCCGGCGTAGGCGGGTTCCTAATTGACGATCAAAGGATCAGATGAAAAGTCACTTTTGGAACCTACAATGGTTGGTGAAACTTTCAGAGTTCTTCTGTCGAAGAAGATCACGTAAATGTCGACACGTCAGGAAGGAGTTACCCCGTCGGCATGGAGTTCAGGGGGGGGGGGGGGGGGGGGGAGATGAGAGGTAGATAGGCAAGCATCCAACTTTCCCATGTTTCCCACATCACCTTTCATTTCCCATTTGAGTAATATATGTGGTCAATCTCCCATTTGAGTAATATATGTGGTCAGACCTCCTCGACTAAGAAGCCTATAGACGATCCGTTGTTGTGGTGGTGTCGGAGATCGAACGTAGCTTGACGATGGGGGGATTATAAAGAGGGTACTTCGGGGAGGCGGAGGGGGGTGCGATTATTCTAATCCCTGTTTCATCATACTAACAGACCAACGATCTTTCTTACTTTACTACATTGACACAAGATGCGTGGACAAACATTACAATCAAGCAGGCCTCAAGACAGTCGTTTTAAGGGAGTGCAGCAACAGAAGCCAACGACCACGGATGGGATTACTGTGTGTGAGTGGCACCTGATAGAAAGTAATATGGGTCTTGGGTCGCAGATCCCAAATCTTCCAGGATTGGGTCCAACCATCATTGGTGTGGAAGCAACCCAGTCTGAGCATGCGGAGCAGGTCACAGGCCAAGTGTTTCTTCGTACACAGGTTTGTAATCCCACTTCAGCATAGTCGTAGATCCTGATAATCCCAGTTTGGAGGAAATCCAAGTGATTCAAATGAGAAGATTCCAACAAAAGTTGACAGCAAGCAAGGAAAGGACATTGTATCACCAACCGCAGAGAGCTCAGAGATGATCTCTCAGCTCATAGTGAACAAGGATTTCCTGAGATCTCTGGCAAGTTTGAGCGCCACCATAATGGAGACGCGTCTTGAGGAGATGATAGAATATACAGAAGATGATATGAAAAGGGTCCTATGGGATGAATTGATGAGGGGATTCAGCCTAAAAGAGGACGTTCGGTGGCATCATCTGCAATCAGTTGTGCTGGAAGCCTTCTCAAAGGATGACACCCTTGCTCAAGCTTACACAGGCATACCAGAAATGTTAGAGGGTAGACAAGGCATTGAATCTTCTGCACACCAGCAGTCAGGGCTGCAAGAAAAGGGCAAAGAACGTGAGGTGTAAGGCATTGCCTGCTGCCATGCAGAAGTAATTATACGGCACCCCACCATGGAGAACATGGACACCAGTGACTGGACAACAGTGACAAGGGGAGAGATCAAAGCATATTTTGATAACAGATGATGGAATGAATGACATGATGAGAGACATACAATCACATTTCTTGACTCCCAGTCTACCTGCATATGCTCCTTTGCTCAGAGACTAAAACACACACACACACCCTTGTTTCACAGGCAAGTATAGGTAATGTCACGGACCGGTAAATCCCGTCCATGACAGGCAGAATGTGTCAAGAGACCAACTAACCAGCATTGGGACGATATAACAGTGCCCTTCAGAGGCAGCAGTCTGAACCACTGTGCTAAAAGGCCTATTAACCGGCGGTTACTGCATACCGCCGGTCGCTGGTCAAATACCCAACCCATCCTATCACTGTCACTATCAAACTGTCTTGTCACTTCGTGACAGAATGCTTGTCACGAACTACGTCGCGACACCTCGATTACTCCACCAACAATGACCCTCCTTTGGCCATCAAAACCCCATCACGCCTTAACCTCTTTACTCTACACGTAACTCAGGACTTCTGACACCAAGTACGGCGAAGTTAGACGGAGTTAGGCTAAGTAGGAACAATGGGAGCAGAAGTACGGCGAAGTTAGACGGAGTTAGGCTAAGTAGGGACAATGGGAGCAGAAGTGCGGCGATGTTAGGCGGAGTTAGTCGAAGGAGGAAGAGGATGGCCGAGGGCTCGGGGAAGTTGGACGAAGTGCGTTGAAGTACGTCAAAGCGCGAGAGGGTTGGATGAACGTCTAGGAGGAGTAGATAATATTAGCTGAGGAGATCGCTGAAGTTCTTCAGCGATCCTTGATTGTTGTCAGTAGTGAAAGACAGATAGAGATAGCTATAAATCAGGATACATCGCCATCAGTAGAACAAAACCCTAGTTAGAGTAACTACGCCGAAGTACGCCGTAGTTACACCCATTTCGACGTCTGCGCCCTCCTGGTTGGGTGAGACATCGACTCAGAGCGTGAAGTTAGCCGAGGTTCGTCGACCGTCGGTCTATTAAGAAGTAGTTGTTCGACGGCCGTGACAGTATCAAGGATCGCTCTTACCGACGACCCGTGCGAACCTCGGAGAAGTACGAAGATAATATGGAACCAGAAAGGAGAGTCACACGAGGCATGAGTAGGAGTGACGACAGGATGGAGGAAAATGAGAGGAGAGCGTTGGAGGAGCTTAGAAGAGCAATGGGACAGGACCTTGGGATGGAAGATAGTGTAGGGGGGTCAGTTCAAGGAGATGAGTCCATTCCACCAATACCTTCTAATCCTCCTACCCCTGCGGGCGATGCTCCCCCGCCTATCGGATCCCCAGTTGGATCGGATCAAACTCCGCGGCCAGAAAATGCTGGAAGTGGGACGAACTTCGGAGAAGGAGGGACACAAGGGGTGATGCTAGCCTTGATGCAGATGGTGGCAAACATGAACAAGGATATGATGGAAGAACGTAGGCGCAGGGAGGAGTGGGAGCAGAGGAGGGAAAGGGAGACAGTAGGGGGAATTGCAGAAGGGATATCTGAAGGGGTGAGGTACGCCATGGGACGGCAAACTTCGGCGACTCCAAGCGTAGTTGGGGAACAACGGAAGGGTATCAAGTTGCCTAATCCAGACTTCTGGAGGGGAGAGCGGAATAAGTTGACGGCCTTTCTGTCCGAGTGCGACGTACACTTCGAATTAAACTCTCATCTTTTCCCCGACGACACTAAGAAAGTCTTTTTCATGATCTCTCACTTACGCGAAACTCCCCTCCTCGCCGTTCAACCCGATCTATCTAAACGGCCTCTCCCAGAATACCTCACGGCGCACAACCAGTTCGTCAAGTATCTCAAGACTAACTTCGGCGACCCAGATGAAGAAGGAACTGCAGCCCGACAACTCAACGACCTTAAACAAACCGGCTCTGCTTCGGACTACTTCTCTGCCTTTCAACGACATGTGGCGATACTCAAGTGGTCTGATGATGGAAACTTAGTCGATCGAGCTAAGAAAGGTCTAAAATCGCACCTTCTAGATGAAATCGCAAGACACGGTAGATCGTTTGGGACTGTAAAAGAGCTATTGGAGTTTGTGATTCCCTTGGACAACCGCCTGTGGAGGAGACAAGTGGAGAAGGAGGCAGAGAGGAAAAGGGAAGGAGGGATAAGGACAACGACAGTGGTGGAAAGTCAGAGGACGGAGAAGAAAGAAGAGAAGAAATGGGAAAAAGGACAACCTTCGGCGCAGGTTGGTGTCCAAGCGGCCATGACGTCCACGGTGGTAAGGAGTGCGCCGCCGAACATCGACGAAGTTCGCCGAAAATGGCCTAGGCCAAGCTCCGATCTGAGGGAGACAAGGAGGAAAGAGGGGAAGTGTACGGAGTGTGGTGAAACAGGACATTGGCTGAAGGAATGTCCTGTAAGGGAGGCTAAGGTTAAGGTTGGACTGTTGCCTCCATGGGGAGAGAAGTTCGGAGAACGTGGTGGAGGGTCGGGAGGGAATGCAGTACCTCTTGGACAAAGGAGGAACTTGAATGCGGTTGGAGGAGAAGTAGATTTGGAAGAGAACCAGGGAAAAGAAGAGGACCTGTCGCAGTAGGCGAGGCTCGGCGGGTCCGCCATATTCTCTCGGCCACCATTCCCAAACCTATAAAAGAGACGCAACTGATGGAGCCAGAGGATTGTGAATACAAAAATACACCACTCAGTACCCCTTGTTCATGCAATGTCGATAATCATCTCCTCATCCCTTCCGTTTCCAGAGATCAACCTAAATCGGACATTTTAATTAATGGAATGAAGCTAACTACGCTCTGGGACACCGGGGCTACTTGTTCATATATAAGTCCTAGAGCGGCGACGAAGATAGGCGCAGAAAGGAGACAATATCAGGTGAGCGTACCCGTTCACATGTTCGACGGCTCGGTGAGTGTCGCGGGGCCTATCACCGAGTTTGTCGAAGTCGGATTTAGTTTGACGAAGGACGCCGAAGTGCGATCTGTTCGTCTCGATGTAACAACGCTCTGCGACGCAGATGTTGTGATAGGGTGGGATTGGATGAGGAAGGAAGGGGTTGTCCTTGATGGAAGAGACAACTCGGTGAAATTTCCCATCCCAACCCCACCAAGTGCGGCGAAGTTAGCGGCCATAGGTCTGCCAACTCCGACGGACGCGATAGATCTCCGAGACAAAGATGATCAGGATGAACTGAGTCCGGAGGAACAGGAGGAATTGTATCAGGTGGTTCCTGAACAATACCACTCGTTCATTGATGTCTTTAACCCAAGGAAGGGAGGTGAGGAATTACCTCCCTCGAGGAGCTATGATTTGGAGTTTGATCTTAAGGAGGGGGCGAACCTGAAGGTTGCTCCACTCTACTCGCTTGGAGAAGATCAGAGAAGTGCGCTGAGAGACATCCTAGACCGCGAAATGTCGGCCGGAAGAATTCGACCCAGTAATTCGCCCTACGGATCACCGATGTTCTTGGTACCGAAGAAGGCGAAAGGTCAATGGCGAATGGTCATTGACTACCGAAAGTTAAACGAGGCAACGATACCCGACGCCTATCCTCTGCCTCTGATCGGCCAGATAACCGAAGAGCTGGGAAGAGCGAGGTACTTCAGCAAGTTAGACCTAATTGGGGCTTATCAACTCCTACGAGTAAAGGAAGGTCATGAACACCTGACAGCGTTCAGGACACAGTACGGTATGTTCGAGTCTCTTGTTGTCCGAGATGGCCTACGGAATGCTCCCGCTGTGTTTCAGCACTTCTTGAATGAAAGTTTTCGAGAGCTGCTGGGAAAGGGAGTAGTAGTCTACATAGATGATATACTCATCTACGGTCAAACGTTGGAAGAACTGAGGGGAACTACGGCGAAGGTGTTTGAAGTGCTTCGGAGGTCGAATTTGTTCGTTAAAGCTAGTAAGTGCGAGTTTGAGAGAGATTCGGTAGTCTTCCTGGGGTTCGTGGTTTCACAGAGGGGAATTTCCAGTAACCCGGATTACATCGATGCTGTCGTATCTTTTCCCCGTCCTAAGAACTTGCGAGAGAGTAGGGGATTTATGGGAGTTGTCAGTTATTATCGGCGTTTTGTCCCCAACTTCTCCAAGATTGCTAAACCGATCAATGACCTCACCAGGAAAGATGTGCCGTTTGTTTGGGGAGTAGAGCAGGAAAGAGCCTTTAAAGAATTGAAGGATAGGATGTGTAGGGCGCCAGTATTGGCTCACTTTGACCCTTCATTGAAGACACTACTACAAACAGATGCGTCGTTCTTCGGCTGGGGTTTCATAATTTCGCAGGTGAACGAGTTAGGACAAGAGCATCCGGTGGCCATCGAATCCGGAGCGTTCCAGGCGGCGCAGTTAAACTATACGGTAGGGGAAAAGGAGCTACTCGCTATTGTTGAAGCTTTCAGGAGAAGGAGACACTTACTACTACAGGTAGAGACTACAGTTCTCACAGATCATTTAAATTTAACTTACTGGATGGAGCCTAAGCAGCTTAGCCCCAGGCAGGGTAGGTGGGTCGAAGAGCTCTCTAACTTCAGGTTTAAGATGGTGTATCGACCGGGAAAACAAGCTACACTGCCGGACGGACTGTCGAGAAGAGCAGACTACCACTCAGGAAAAGGAAGTACTATGATGCAGGAGAGCAATCTTATTCAAGGTTTGCCGAAGTTCGACGAACTTGACGACACTAGCTCTGGGTTACAACACCTACTTCGAGCCTTACAGGGTACAAAGGAAGTACGAGAAAACGACCTCATTGATCCTATGGATTTGATAGTTGGAATACAGGAAGACGAAGAGGTGGAGGAGGTTAGAGAGGAATTACTGGGGGTAACCTGTGCTAAGTGCTCTCATCTGACATGTCACGATAATGTGCAGGAACCAGAGTCGGTCACCGAACTACGCCGTACCTCGCGGTCCCCCTTAATACTTCGTGGGGGGTGGAATTCAAGAGGGTTCCTCACGTTCGATGGTCGAACTTATGTGCCGAACTACGCCGATGCTCGACTAAAGATAATGAAGACGCGGCATGACTCGGTCCTAGCGGGTCACCCAGGCTCAGCGAAGACTCTCGAGCTAGTCCTACGGGACTACGTTTGGGTTGGAGTAAGGAAGGATGTTGAAGATTACATCGCTGGATGTGCGGTGTGTCAGAGAGCAAAGACTAACAGGCAGAGACCCCATGGAGAGCTTAAACCACTGGAAGTGGCTACGAAGCCATGGTCCAGCATTTCGATGGATTTCATTGAAGAGCTCCCGAATTCCCATGGATACAATTCCATCTTAGTAGTGGTGGACCGGTTAACCAAATGGGCCATTTTTATCCCGACTACGACGAAGTTAACCGCAGCTGGCCTATCCGAGTTGATAATGGACTATGTGGTAGCTCAGCATGGGCTACCAGAGAACATAGTGTCTGACAGGGGATCGAAGTTTACCTCGAAATTTTGGAAGAACTTGACCGATAGTCTCGGGATAAGACTACATCTCTCTACTGCATATCATCCGCAGACTGATGGACAGACTGAACGAACCAACCAGTCCTTAGAGCTCTACCTTCGAATCTTCACTTCTTATCAGCAGAACGATTGGTCGAAGCTGCTTGCTCGAGCTAGCTTCGCCTACAACAACACCCATCATTCTGCGATAAATAAGACACCATTTTATGCGAACTATGGGTACCACCCTCGATGGGCTGAAGAAATCAAGGCCAGTGAAGTCGAAGTGCCCGCTGCTACGGTGGTGGTAAAAGACTTGACTGAAATACACAAAGATTGTATCGAAGGAATTGAGAAAGCTAATGAGAAGTACGCCGAAGGATACAATAGGAAACACCGGACTACGCCGAACTTCGCGGAAGGAGACCTAGTGATGCTGTCGTTAGAGAATATTAAGACGAAGAGACCAATGAAGAAGTTAGATGTTAAACAAAGTGGGCCGTACAAGGTAGTACGGCAGGTAGGTTCTCATGCTTGTAAGTTGGAATTACCAGGAACGATGGCAGGTATCCATGATGTATTCCATGTCTCCTTGCTCCGTCCTTATCACCCTCCAATATTTCCTGGTCAGCAAGCTGAGCCACCTGGCCCAGTAGAAGTAGACAATGTGGGAGAGTCTTGGGAGGTAAAGGATATTGTAGACTCTAGAGTAAATAAGAGATCAGGAAAGTTAGAGTACTTGGTGGAGTGGTTAGGTTACGAAGGAACAGACGACTCAGTATCATGGGAACCAGTGGAGAACGTCGATGGAGCTGACGACATATTGGCGAAGTTCCACGAACTTCACCCTACTAAGCCGAAGGAGGGGCGACTGCGAAGGGCTAGGAGATAGAACGTACTGCATACAACATAGGATTACAGCTACGTACCGCTCACTTGTCCTTACTCTTACCCTTACCTTTTCCTTTTCCTTTCTCCTTCGATCTACTCGGTCCCGCGGGATTGGTGTGGAGGCTACCGATGACCGAAGGTAGATCGAGAGTCTCAGACGGGAACGCAGTAGAGAGAGAAGCATTCCATGCCCGATTCATAGCCCCAAAGAAGTCACCGAAGTCCTGGACATCTCGAGCAGCTTGCATGCTCGGGGTCCTCCACAGAGAACGTATGGTCCGTAGACACTCGAAGGGAAGACTGAGGAGGTCGAGAGCAGTCTGGGCGGAAGCTGGGACACGAGAATTACTACGGCGACCTAACCAGTCAAGGGACGGTGGTGGCTCATACGCCATAGGAGTGACTAGGAAGGGGGTGTCGAACAGTCTTCGGCGAACATCGGCTATCTCAGTAAGGCTTCGGCGAGAGACGGCCGCTAACCTTGTCCTTGCTTCGTCGTCCAGAGCCCCAGTGTTGACTACATCTACTAACGCCGCAGTAAGATTGTTTAAAGCGTTAGCTTGACGAGAAGAGAAGTCAAGCAGGAGAGATGTATCATTTCGGGCGGCCTCAAGCTGAGTAGTGAGACCGAGGACGAGAGAACGATAAGTGGCGAATTCCTTTTCGTCCTCAGGAATACGGACGTCCAGGGAGATACGAGGGTGGACGAGGGACAACCGGGGAGCAGAGGGACCAGCACGCTGAGTATCTTCATTTTCCACATCACCATCATTGAAGGCAACCTCCTTCTCTTTAGATTTCCCTTTTGATTTCTTTAAAGAAGACTTCGGTGTCTTCTGGGAAGCAGAGGGAGGGGTGACGGGAGGGGCCGCCGAAGAGGCCGGAGGAACAGAAGGACGCCGACTTCGGGTGCTGTGAGCCGGAGGAGAAGCTACCACTGGAGAGGACGGACGTGGCGCCGAAGGACGAGAGGCCGAAGGACGAGAGGCCGAAGGACGGGAGGCCGAAGGAGCAGAGGCCGAAGGACGGCGAGAAGACGAAGGAGGAACAGCCGGGAGACGTGATGGGCCGGCCACAGGAGCGAAGGGCGACGGCGACGGAGGCGACGGGCGGAGGTCCGGCGAAGTACGGCGAACCGACCGGAGAGACGAAGACGGTACCCGCGAACGGGGGACAGACGCTGGAGTCTGGGGAGGGGGGAGAGGAGAAGCGTCGAAGGGACGGGGCGGGATGTCCCGGGCAGAGGAAACGGGACAGAAGGAGCAGGGGCCAGACGTGCATGAAGCACAACGGAGGGCCTTATTGTGTGGCCTGACTGCCTTGAGGCAGGGCCAGTTTGGACGATTATACGTGATAATCTCACGTCTACTAATTAGCAGGAGTAACTTAGGCGTAGTACGAATAGGTGGACTCACCGGCAACGATCACACGCTTCGTCAACACCAACCGCGATCCAACGACCAGGCTCGGACTTCATCTTCTCCCACAAGTACTCTTCTTCCCGCAGTGATCTCTTCACCCGTTTGGGCGAAGGCTCCCCTCTGGGAGAAGGGGGGGGAGCAGCGACAGGGGCGGCGGGAGCAC